AGGACTCAGTAATGTTAAACGGGTTTGGCACAGTGGTCAATGCACTTGGCAAGCGGGTCAAACCTTACTTGCCTCAGATATGTGGTACAGTTTTGTGGCGTTTGAATAACAAATCAGCAAAAGTTAGGCAACAGGCAGCTGACTTGATCTCTCGAACTGCTGTTGTCATGAAGACTTGTCAAGAGGTAAACTTTTACATCAGATTCCTATTTCTTCACCAAATAATTTAACATGAATATTAACATTTTAACATTATTTATTACAGGAAAAATTGATGGGGCACTTGGGTGTTGTTTTGTATGAATATTTGGGTGAAGAGTACCCTGAAGTATTGGGCAGCATTCTTGGAGCACTGAAGGCCATTGTAAATGTAATAGGTATGAAATTTGCTGGTCATGTAAGAATATTGTTTTTGTTTTTAACTTTCTTTGGTTTTTTTTAAAGTAAAATATAGAGTCATGTCTAGGGGTTGAGTAATGACTTTTATACTTTATTATTTTAAATACTTCAAAATTATAGTTAAGTTGGGATGTTACAGTAGTCTTATCTCCCCAAACCCATTTATATTTTGCTTTAAAAGAAAAGAGGACAAGTTTAGGGCTTGTGAGAGTGATAGGAGTAGGCACAACTCAAAATAAAAATAGTGTCCCTCCTGGAATATATTCGAAGGGGGGCAACTCTGAAGTTTTAATTTGGTTTTAGGACAAAATATATATTTATTCAACCTTGAATTGTAAGTGATTATGACAGGTTTTTCTGCTTGCTGTCAAGTTCCAGGAACATAACCAGAGAGAAAAGTGAATTGCTCAAGTTGTTACCTTGTTTTTATTTATATCCAGTTCTTTAAAACGCTCCATTTCAGTTTTCTAACCCAAAATAAAAACACAAGTATATTACAAATGCTCTTGGGTACGGAGAGCAAAGCTTTTATCCTTTAAGATCATTATGATGAAGCAACCAAATGGTCTGTTCTGTGTAATCCTTCGTTATTATTGAACCATGGCTATTGCAAAAGTAACTTCTGCAGCGGTCAGAGGGGCCAAAGTAACCTAGCAGGAGGTCATATAACTGGCTCTGATAGCCACTGTTTGTTTCTCCCCTTTCAGTAAGGGGTTTTTATGCAATATAGAAGATCTTTGAACCATTGCACTTACCATATAACCCCCAACTCAGCCCTGTCCCCTATATTTGAAAATAGCTACTTGCCAAAGTCAGTTACTTGGCCACCTGTGGGGCTGTAATTTTCAGGAAATTGTAAACCATATTGTTGATCAGGGAAATGGGAAAAGCAATGGAGAGAGAAGCAGAGCAAGCAGTTCTAGTTAGAGCAAGAGCCCCTGCCAGCTGCCTCCTTTTTTCTCTCTTCATAGGTGTAAATACCATCCAAGTATGCCCTGCATTGCAGGGAGACTGGAGATCTGTTTGTTTTGCAGTTAAAGGGTAAGGGGGCCCTTTCTGGAAAATTTTGCTTTAATTTACATGTCTACCTCTGGCTTACATTGTTGTTGTATGGCCGGAACATAAACTGTCCCCATATTTAAATGTCAGTGTACAAATACATTTCAGAACCAAATAAAACTTTTTTCGTTGAATATCCATCATTCTTCAAAATCACTTCACTAATTTCTTTCATTTCTATGCATAATCAGAAGTTGTTAATGAAGAGTTAAAAACAATTCTGAGTCTGGTCAGAACCTGGGGTTTTTTCTTTACATAGGAAGCTATAAGTTTATGCCTAGTCACGTTTTATTACATTGCTGAGTAAAAGGTAAAATGAACAGTGGTTTCAGTTTAAGTGTGTTGACTTCTATTAAATAGGTATGCATAAGATGACCCCACCAATTAAAGATCTGCTGCCTAGACTCACCCCCATCTTAAAGAACAGGCATGAAAAAGTACAAGAGAATTGTATTGATCTTGTTGGACGTATTGCTGACAGGTAAGCAGATTAAACATTTTTATAAGCAGTATTCATCTTCACACTTAACCACTTTTTAGCTACTTTGCAAGTTTGCTTAATGTTGCTAATGTATATGGTCAGGCTATCCAGTATTAATATTTTCAGTGAAGTTTTAATTTGGATGGTAATGAGGGGGTGGCAATATAGTTTTAAGACTGAACCATTTTTTCTGAGATTAATAATATATTTAATGCTTAAAATGATTTGGTAATCATTTTCAGAACTAAATTTACAAATATATCTCTTAAAACTTGTCACAAAAAATTAATTTTTTTTTTAATTAGGGGAGCTGAATATGTGTCAGCAAGGGAGTGGATGAGGATTTGCTTTGAGCTTTTGGAACTCTTAAAAGCTCACAAGAAAGCTATTCGTAGAGCCACAGTCAACACATTTGGTTATATTGCAAAGGCTATTGGGTGAGTACTATTTCCTTCCATATATATTTTTTACTTTGTAATAAACCCATTGTGGTGTTGAAAAATACTTCGGTTTCTGTATAAATCTATTTTAAGGCATGGTGTGAATAATGCAGTTGAGAATGCATTTTATTTAATCACTGACTTACAATTTTTGAGATGTTTCCTTAAATTTAAATTGAATTAAAATAGATGGGAGGTTTTTAAATTTCATTTACTCAAACCAGACATTTTCAGAGAGGGAAACTCATTCTCAAAATAATTTCAAATTTTTGTGGGTCCTTTTAGGATATTGCTTGAAATATTAAGGCCAGTTTTTAATTTTAAAAACCAGCATAATCCAAGTCTCCTGTTAGTGCTTTTTGTTAGTGTTTTAAAGATATTTTTCTAAAATTAATCCACAGACTGTTGTAGATTTTTATTAATAAATTTGTGGTTATTTGATTCCACTCTGTCAGAACCATACCAGACATTGTAGAAAATGAGATATTACATGTACATATGGCTTAATAACAAAATATTTTCAAGCAACAAAATATAACTAGTCAGATTAATTAAATGAAATCTTTCCACCCACCCCCTTTTTGTTAACAGTAATATCTGTTTCAACAAGAATATAGTAAAAATTTGCAATAATAGGTGTTATACTAGTGTTTAGCCCCTATGTCCCTTTAAGTTTGTGGTAAATAAATGCTTAAAGAATAGATGTAGTAAAGGTATGTGGGAAGGAAGATAAGAAAAGGAAAAAAGATTATATGTGTAGTGAAATAGGAGAATTCAATTTAGAATTAAATTTTTTTATATTTCAGGAAATTTAATAAAGACATTTTATATATGAAAATTATACATTTGAGGTTTTTTCTTTAAAATGGACATTTTAAGTGAAGTTCTTACATAGAAACAATAACACCAGTGACTTGAAAGTACTGTATTTCATCATAAATTTGCTAAGTTCCCAGTGATTACTTACCATGAAGTTTCATTCCTTTGCATTTTTTCTTTTCCCTCCAAAAAAAATTTTGACTTTAATAGTGTGCTGACAACATTTTTTTTTTTTTTTCAGCCCTCATGATGTATTGGCTACACTTCTAAACAACCTCAAAGTTCAGGAAAGGCAGAACAGAGTTTGTACCACTGTAGCAATAGCTATTGTTGCCGAAACGTGTTCACCTTTCACAGTACTACCTGCCTTAATGAATGAATACAGAGTTCCTGAACTGAATGTTCAAAATGGAGTGTTAAAATCACTTTCCTTCTTGTTTGAGTATATTGGTGAAATGGGAAAGGACTACATTTATGCTGTAACACCATTACTTGAAGATGCTTTAATGGATAGGTAAGTAACTTGAGTTAAATGCAAGAAAATAGTTATAATCCTTTTATTTTAGAATTTATGGAAATTACTATGTGACCTATTTGTTATGATTCAATTAAAGAAGAGGAATAATAGCCTGGATTTTTATGAAACTAGAGCCCATCCAGTTACTTTTGTTTACAGATTAAAGTTAATTAGTGAGCTTCCAAAAGGGAGACTTAACAGGACTCAGCAACTTAACCACAAGGTATGTACCGGGGGTGCCAAAAAATACAAGTGGACACTTCGGTCAACGTTGCTCAAGCAGTAGTTTGCCGTAATCAGAAGTGTGTGGACGCTGATGGGTAACCACTTGGATCACCTCTTATAATTGCAGAAGTCAAATGTGACTTGTATTCATACTTATTGTTATCTGTATTTTTATTACAATTTTAATAGTTTTTTCCTTTCTTAAAATGTGTATACATTTTTTTTGGCACCCTCTGTATGTAAGGCATGGGGACAATTAAGAATCATGCTCTTGTAAAAGCCTGACCAACTGGGGACCAGTAAAGCAGGAGTAAATCATACTCGATACTCTTTAGGGGAGATACACCTGAGCATCGTAGTGTAGTCCTTGATGTATGTGACCTGCAGTTAAAAATTATGTTGTGTGTACTAATTAATTAGTTGAGGGTAGTAGCGCCATAAAAAATTAAGTGAAAAACAATAGTTGGAAATTTATTAATGCTTCACTGTGAAGCTTAATAGATTAAACATTATTATAGTAAATGAGAGAAATAAGGGTTTTGTTAAGTTAAAGTATTTTTTTTTCTTATACCTTTAAGGTACTTATTCTTACTATTATACTTTTGAGGGCAAAGCAAGTGCATGAAATCATTTTTATGTCCATCACAAATCCATTATCTGATGTTCATACTCATTTGAGTAATTGTAAAATAAGTCAATGATTTGTCATAAACAAATTCAGTTAACATGGAGATGATAGTACTTTTTTCCGTAGGTATGGAAAATTATAGGCCTTTCTCTTCCTCTCCCTAAATTGAGTTCTTTTTTTTAAAGATTTTTTGGGGGGAATTGGGGGATGGGAACAGCGCTGGGGAATTGGGGAAAGGGGAACAGACAAGTTGCTGTCCTTTTGTTCTTCAGTCTAGTTGTGAAGAACGTTGCTTCACTGGCCCAAGTTGGCACCATCATTGTGCTCTTCCCGGGAGAGGCAGGTCAGTTGCCGGCTTCTGGACGGCCACTCATGACGGCTTGAGGGCCGCTCACGTTGGCTGCTGGCTACACATGGTAGCCCATGGCAACCCACTGCAGCAGGGGCTGCAGCCTACGCCGTCGCCTCACGGCAACCCAGCTCTGGACTGAGCTGTTGTTCAGCATCTTAGCTGTGGAGGGCAGTGTCACTGGCCCTCATATGTGGGATCCGAACCAGGGCCCTCTGGCGTCCCAAGCCACTCTTATACGAACGTGCCACTCGGCCGGCCCCTAACTTGAGTTCTTGAATGAAACTTGAAATTTATAAGGGCAAGGATTTAATTTTAATTTAATTATCTATTGTATACCAGTATTGAATTACTTTCAAAGATTTTAAATTTAGACTTTAAAATGAGATACTCCTGTTACTCATTCATGAGTGAGAGTCATGTAACCCCTCTTTAGTAGCATACTAAAATGTACACTGCACAGAGCTCTTGATTACATTCCTTTCAGAGTTTTATTAGAAAATATGGCTTATTTTTGAGCCAAAGTGAGGTTTGAGCCATTAAACAAAAATTCTCAAGTAAAATCATTAGTTCTGAAGCATGCTATGTCAGTACCATATGTAAGGTGTGAAAATGACTCTGCATCTGTTCCATGCACTGAATTTGTAATTTAGTTTTATAATGGGCTGGAAACATTGTTTCCTGTGAAACTAAGGCTGTACCTTTTTTTTTTTTCCTCCCATTTCAGGGACCTTGTACACAGACAGACGGCTAGTGCGGTGGTGCAACACATGTCACTTGGGGTTTATGGATTTGGTTGTGAAGATTCGCTGAATCACTTGTTGAACTATGTATGGCCCAATGTGTTTGAGACATCTCCCCATGTAATTCAGGCGGTTATGGGAGCCCTGGAGGGCTTGAGAGTTGCTATTGGACCATGTAGAATGTTGCAGTATTGTTTACAGGTAGGTTAAAGATTTTTAAAAGATTATTCAATGAAAAAAGTAATTTCGTTGAATTAAGTCACTTAATAAATTTTCAATAGGGTATAATGTGCCATATGGGGAAACAGTTGGGGCGGTGGGAGGAGGTTAGATTTTGTCTTTGCCCACTGCAGTTTTGTGTTATTGCCAGGTTTTTTTTCTCTCTTAAAGGGAAATGTTTGGAATCATAAATTTATGGTTTGTTTGTAGTTATGTTAAAGTTATGTATGTTCTTGAAAATTGAAATAATGTAACCTTTTAATTTTCTAGGGTTTGTTTCACCCAGCCCGGAAAGTCAGAGATGTGTATTGGAAAATTTACAACTCCATCTACATTGGTTCACAGGATGCTCTCATAGCACATTACCCAAGAATCTACAATGATGATAAGAACACCTATATTCGTTATGAACTTGACTATATCTTATAATTTTATTGTTTATTTTTGTGTTTAATGCACAGCTATTTCACACCTTAAACTTGCTTCGATTTGGTGATGTAAACTTTTAAACACTGCAGATCAGCATAGAACTGGTCGTAGAAGAAAAGCTAGAAATCCAGTAGCATGATTTTTAAATAACCCGTCTTTGTTTTTGATGTTAAACAGTAAACGCCAGTAGTGACCAAGAACACAGTGATTACACACAACTATACTGGAGGGATTTCATTTTTAATTCATCTTTATGAAGATTTAGAATTCATTCCTTATGTTTAAAAGGGAATGTTTAATTGAGAAATAAACATTTGTGTACAAAATGCTAACTTGTGTGTGTTTTTTGAACATGACTTGTACAATGCGGAACTTTGATCAAGTGTTGGTTTGTGTAGAACAAGTGGCTAAATTTCATTTTCTGTCACCTGGTTTATAGAAAGTAGTTAGCAGAATATAAACTATAAAGTAATGGCGTCTTTGTCAAAAATGTTATTGTTCTGTTGATAATGACAGCAAGAAGCTTTGGGGGGTGTTCATCTCAAACTAGCACAACCGTTCCATCTCCACAGAAAATATAGCACCTTTGCTGAACTGTATTGAATATTATTATTTTGCACTTACATAGCGCCTTTCATCTCTCAGTGACTCAAAATGCTTTATGAACGTGTTTAAGGAAAGTGATTCAAATCATGTCCAACTCTTGATGAGTCTGTTTAGAGTGAGGAAGGTACTTTTGTTTGGAAACTACTTTCTATCCATTGGGAGTGAAGCTACCTAACTAATGCTAATAAGACAATCTTTGGGCTCTTTTTCCATGTCAAGCTACTACTCGTGCGTGCTTCAGCAGCACATATACTAAAATAGACTACTACTCAACAATGAATCCAGTAAATACCTGTTGAGCACCTGCTGTATACCAGCCGCTGTGCTTAGTGTAGGGGATGGCAAAGGTGCCTTTGACCTGCCTCTTGCCCGTAAGAAATGCAGTGTAATGGAAACAGGGAGATACATCTAGTTACATACTATGTACTGGGATATAATTGCAGCAGCTAAAATGTCTAGATTTGTTAAATTTTGCATTTAGTAATTAGATATGTTCATGTGTAGGTGTCCAGCATAAACTGAAATGCCATTAAACTCTAGAGGAACCAAGCATTTAGGCAGTACTTAGTATTTTTTGGCAAATATTTTAAATATATTTTTAGCTTTTCCTACTTTTTCTGGCCAAGACTTTCTTAGTTTTAGCCCCTGCACTACCCATAGCTGTTATGTTTTGTCTCCCTATGTTAGTACTTCTGTGAATTCGAATGAGAAATGAGACTGCAGCAGCATATGCATCGGATGACTGCCACTGTAAGTAAAGCCATACTGGGACTAGAAAGCTTGTTCCTGGAACTGCTAACTTAGGCTCCCTGTTTTGGAGGCTTACAAGAGAGTGAATTGCTGACTTTTACAAAACCGATACTGAGCATTAGTTGATTGTCCAGGAAAAACTGATACCTCCTCATTGTTCCTTAGGTGACACAACTTTGACAGCAGGTCAGTGTGTACTAAAACAATTTTCAAAATCATTTTTCTAAGAAGTTTTTCTAACAGTAGCCGCTATGCAACTTCAAATGCTATTATATAGTTGCTGTCAAATGACCTTCAGTAATTACTAATCATGAACATTGAAGAACCCAATTAGATTTCAAAGCCAAAATTCAATTTTAAACCTGTCTTGGGAAATTTTAGTTGTGTTTTCAAATACTTGCATACCTCCACAGTTTGCTGGGGCCCGTTTTACGGATGGGAAATATCAGTGCTTGGCAGCGGCAGTGCGGACAAAGACTGCTTAGTTACACTAAGTGACTTGACTGATGCAAATGTTTTGAGGACAGAGGTGAGGCACATACTGAAGGCTCGGACCTTAAAAGTTGGGACCAAATAGAGGCTCACAGATGTTTGCAGCATTATATATGTTTATTGAATACAGAAAGCATTTTGTGATACACTTACATGAAAGACGCTATGTGAAGTTTTAACTATCTTTCAAAGACTTTTTCTTTTGCACTTTTTTTGGTGTTTCTTAAAGCCAGACTTAAGCAGGAAGAAATTAATGTGCTTAGGGGAACAGTGGGTGGGTTTTTCCGTGGGCTTTTGTTGGTTTTTCTCTGGGCCCTCTAATGGAATTGATCTCTTTGGCTGTTCAATTTTTTTCATATTGTATTTTTAAAATTCGTTGTATGGTGCCCTGTGAGCATCAAGTGCCACCAAATGAATAAAACTTATTATATGTAAAGCCTTTAGACCAGTTTTTAATCTTAGTTGACTCTATTGCTATTGCACTACACTCTGTTGTGGCTGTGCCATTTTAATAATCATTTCTCTGGGTTTTCCGAAAAGGGAACTTAATGTTGAAAAACCAAAGAACTTTATTAAATAAGAAACTGCAAAAGACAGTTACAGTCATACAGGTTCAATGGTTCGGTTCTTTGGTTTCTAACGCCTCTTAAATCTCATAAGGTTAAAAGGAGCAAAAACAGTTGTCATGGTTTTTCAACCTGGGCATTCTCGACATTTTGAACCAGATAAATCTTCATTGTGGGGTGCTATTGTGGGTATTGTAGGATATTGAGCAGCATCACTGACCTCTACCCACTGGATGCCAGGCACTAGCTGCCCCCCCACCACCACCATTGCCCCCCAGTTGTGAGAACCTGAAATGCCTCCAGATTTGTCTCACGTCCCTTGGAGGGCAAAATCTCTCTAGGTTGAGAACCACTGAGAGTTGTTTCAGCAGAACTCACACAGATCTGATCAAATTAAAGCATTTTATTTTAGATAGCAGTTGCCTAGGACGTACCTAGAAATATTTCACAAATACTTAAAACACCTCCCTTGGGTAAAGCTGCATCTGTCCTGGGGAAAGCAGGATGAAAACGTAAGACTGCTTGCTGGCCTTCAGCATCTTGCAGCACGGTGGGAGCCAGGTGCGCACGGTGGGGGCACGGGTACCAGTGGCTCAGGTCTACGCGGAATGCAGTTCAGGGACCCCCCCCCCATGTCACCTGTGAGAGGGGTGTGGCTTGGCTGGAGGCACTGGGCAGGCAGGGCACAGGGAGCCTTTCAAAAAAATGTGGATAGGAAGCCGTAGAATTGAAGGTGACTTGATAAAAGAGTTTAGATTTGCAAGGCAGTGAAGAGTTGTAGGCAAGAGGGAGTGAGTATAGGTCAGTGACATTTCTAGTTCATGCTTGAAAAACTAATTTATTCTTAATAGTTATTTTAGAGGACGTGCTTGCATGTCAGGTTGGACAAATAGACTTTTTTATGGCCTAATAAAATTTTTTGGAAGGAGATTTTTAACATGTTAGTGAATGAGAGGCTTTGGAGAGGTTTTAGTCTGAAATGTTATCCTGGAATATCTTTGCTAGGAAGAAACTTCTAAATAGGGTAAATTATTGTTCCGATGTCTTAACTCCCCCCAAACTTTGAAAAAAAAAAGTTAAAATATTGAGAAAAGAAAGAATAGTACAATGCACACTTGTATATCCATCTAAATTCAACAATGAAAATTTTGCTACATTGGCTCTGTTTTTAAACTAATTTCATGAAACTTTTCTACCATTATTACTTAGAGGAATTTGTTAATAGAAAAAAAAGGCTGATAAGCAAAAGAAAGCAGGTAATTGAGTTTCTGATAAGGAGCAAAGAGGTGGAAGTCAGAGAACAGATAGATTTTTTTTTGAACAGGAAGAGAGACATTTCCCTGAGTCTTATCAGGAAGATGATGTGGGATGTAGGCATGAAAAATCTGTCCATGGCACATCAGAGACTATCAAAACATACAGTTTTACTGCTACTTTAGAAAGTAGACCTAAGTGAGGAAAATTAAGATTCGTACAGAAAAAACAAAACTGGTTAAGTTTAACACCTGGTGCCTGTAGTACGTAGTATGTATGTATAATGTATAATATGCAACTCGATGCTCTGCATATAATTTTGTCACGAAGCAGGATATAATTGACACATTTGGGAAGAAAATCTCAGCACCAAGGAAGAACTGTTCACATGTCAATGTCTAGGTCATTGCTACTGAAAGGGGTCTGGAGACCAGCATCAATGTCATGTGGAGCTTTTTAGAAATACTCTTAGGTTCCATTCCAGACACACTGCAGATCTGCATTTTAATAAGATCCTCAGGTGACTTACATGTATGTTAAAGTTTGAGAGGTGATATAGTTGGGTGCCACTCCATTCCCAATGGGGTAATGATATGGTAATAAAAGGGACAGAGGTACCTATTTAGGTGTGGAAGCAAGTGAGCCTATAGATAGAGCCAAGAGGTGGTCAGAACACCCCCAGGATGGTACTTGGCTGAAACCTGGGTGAAATCAAAAGGGAGGGAACAAAAGAAGTTGTTTTTGTTGTATAATATCAATTCCTTTTTCCAAAAAGGCTATGGTATGGACTGAAAGTTTGTGTCTCCCCAAATTCATATGTTGAAACCCTAATCCCGAATGTGATTGTATTAGGAGACGGGGCCTTTGGGAGGTCACTGGGTCATGAAGGTGTAGCCCTCATGAATGGAATTAGTGCCTTTATGAAGAAGATATGTGAGAGCTGGCCTTCTGTCTGTTCTCTGCCTTGTCAGGATACAATGAGAAGATCTGTAAACCAGGAAGCAGGTAGGCCCTCTCACACACGATCTTGGACTTCCAGCATCCAGAACTCTGAGGAATAAATGTTTGTTTTAAGCCACTCAGGTCTATGGGATTCTGTCCTAGGAGCCTGAACTAAGACAGGCTGGTTACGTCCATGTATTATTTTATATATTATTAATTATATATATAATATATAATAATATATTAATATGTATGTATTATTAATGATATACCTTATTAGGTGTATATCCATGTTGCTTCTCCTACATAAGAAGTTGCCCGGTTGTAGGCTCACTCTCTTGAGGCCAGTATGAGCTGGACTGGGCTGGAGCCAGATGCCCGTTGAGAATCCTCTCCCTGCCTTTACCATGTCCAAGGGGAGGAGGAGAACAGGGAGTCGAAATAATATGGGCTTACCAGTAGGCTCTGGAGTTTGTCATAATCAGGTAATAAATCCAAGTCCTGGATGTATAACCTGGATATGCCACTTGGTGGCTTTGTGACCATGGGCAAGTTATTTGACCTCTCTCTGCTTCAGTTTTCTAATTTGTAGAATGGTGGTGATAATAGTACCCACTTTAGTAAGGGGTGGTCCTTATGAAGATTAACTGGGATAATGCCGGTAATGTAAAACGCCTAAGTACAGTGCTTCATAAACGTAACAGCTGTTGGTGTCGCTTATTTTTATTATCATGAGGGAGGAGACCTTGGTTGTCATTGCTGAAATTAGAGGGGATGAAGGTTGGTGGGTGGCTTGCGGAGAAGCACTCTGGAAACAATTGTTGAGTTAATAAGAGAAGGAACTCATCAGGGACATTTAGGATTGCCTGCTAGTCCCAGGGAATTGCAGAGTCTTCTCTAGGATCGCTCAACAGCCCCGGTGGAGGGACAAGGTATTCAGTTGGATTGATCAGCAGGGCCGCAGAAGGAGTGAGAGGATTAGGGCATTGGTGTGAGGACAGTTGAGACCTGAAAGCATAGATTTGCTGTTCAAATCTTCAGTCGTTTTAGAAAGAAATGGTGTCAATGGTTAGAAGCTCACTCAAATTTTGTTTCTCCGGAGATAGTGACATGATTCTGCCTCAAATACTTAACTAATGAGAGATGCAGTCCAGTACACTTTTCATTTTCTGATGGACAGTTTACATTTTCATGGTATTGAATAACCTTGAACAAATGGCCTATTTGGCTTTTGAGTTTATGAAGTCATACCTTTAAGGGAATTTGTGAAATGTGTTTTCTCAAGGGTGTAAACAAAGTATCTCCAATTTAAATCATGAACCCTTCGGGCCGGCCGAGTGGAGCGATGGTTGAGAGCTCGCTTGGGATGCCAGAGGGCCCCGGTTCGGATCCCACATATGAGGGCCAGTGACACTGCCCTCTGCAGCTAAGATGCTGAACAACGGCTCAACCTGGAGCTGGGCTGCCGTGGGTCGCCGGCGACGGCGTAGGCTGCACTCCCTGTGGCAGTGGGTTGCCATGGGCTACCGTGTGTGGCCAGCAGCCAGCGTGAGCGGCCAGCAGCCGCAGTGAGTGGCCGTCCAGAAGCCAGCGACTGATCTGCCTCACCCAGGAAGAGCATAGTGATGGTGCCAACTTGGGCCAGTGAAGCGACGTCCTCCACAACTAGATTGAGGAACAAAACGACAGCAACTTGTCTGTTCCCCTT